ACGTTAGGAAACAAAACTTCCAGAACACGGCCACACAGCCCGGAAGACCCACATCAGCCATAAAGAACCTTAGTCGTAACACAAATAACAATGAACAGAAATCAAAACTCTAAAAATTCCTCATTAGACTTGTTACTTATTTCTATAGAGTCTTTAAACAGATTCTCCTCCTGCTTTTCAGTCTGCCTGGAATTCCACAGAAGTTTCTAGAGATTTCAGCTACGTGGCAGATGCTATTTGGTGTATCTGGCTTGTTTTCCAGGCCCTGCCCAGTAACTCTTCTTTAAAAGGAACAGCTACCACCATGTCCCTAGGAGAGGCAGAGGCACAGGGGATCTCTTTGTCTCTACATGACAAATGGCACCCCTCCTTTATGTATATGTTGATTCTAAGTCTGCATTCTGCCCAAGAGGATGTATGTTGGGAATGTCTTAGTTCTTCTAACTGGCAAGTGAACAACGTTCACAGCAACTAACAAAGATTGGTAAGAGGCTTGCACACGGCATAAAATAAAACCAAAAGTAAGTTAAGACACAATAACGTTTCCTTGTTCTCATATCACACCAAACCACAGCTGTTATTCACATTATACAGCATGTAAATTAAAAACATGGTTTCAGACTGTGGTTTATACTACCTTAAACAGATCACTATGACTTAACGTGATTTATGAACCTGGTTCTAAGCTGCTTGTTTTCGTTCTATACACTGTAGTAAAAGTTCCATTCAGACATAATGAATGTAACATTCTTAAATAACTGGCTGAGTTCAGATTGAAAGTAAATCCTAGAATTGCATTGCCAATGCTCTTTGATTGTCATAATCCTAGTAAGAATATCTACTGGAGAACTTATTTATATCTCCAATGAAAAAAATAAAACTTCTAATAATAGAAAACATTACTATATATTAATATTTTATCTTCAGTAACATTCCTACCTCTTCATTATTTTTTTTTTTTAATTATCACTTTTCTTTTGCCTTCATTCAAAAATAGATGTTCAGTCCATGCAGGTTTCTTGGCAGTACTGGAGATATGGCATGCCACTGCTACTTTCTGGCATGTTTTTTCCAAATTCCCAGACTGGCCCAGATTTCTGGAATGCCTAGGCATTTTGCCATCCAAGTCACCATAGCTGACCCTGCTTAGCTTCTGAGATCAGTCAGCTAAAGAGGGCAAGGTGCAGCCAGCTGTGGAGGCAAAAAAGGAAATTAACTAATTCATTGGGGAACAGGTAGAATATTCTTCTAGATCTCTTTCATTCTGGAAACCCATTTAAATAAATGTGTTTGGGAATCCTATTTAGACCAAGAATGAAATTAAAAAGTACCTAAATATGTTCACAAACAGGCATTTCTTGAATCAGATCAGTGAGAGCTAGTGTGATACCATGGTTAGGGGGTTGGTTAAAAATGAGGAAAACCAAGTTGTAAAAGTTTACATTAGCAGGAAAGTTCTGGGCGACTTAGGGGTAGTTACTATCAGTCTTACCCAGCCTTTTCAAACTTGTTCAAAACATTGGGCAGTGATGATAGAACAATCACAAGAAATGCTCATGCTGTTTATGTTTCTTTGTGGCCCTGGAAAAAAGGACAAATGGGAAAAATAAGGAATAATACTTTCACTTTAGTCCCTAATCAGTCTTCCTATATCTGGTGTCCTCCAGGTGTGCTGGGACTATACCTCCCAGAATTTTCAGCTGTCACAAGCAACAGTTTTGGAAGTTGCCATCCCTGCTCTTTAGATTGTGGAAGACGGCCCTAATCTGAAGCTTTCCGGTTCCCTTCTCAGTCTGGCTCTTTCACGTTAGGAGAGAGAAACTTGATACGCCATAACTGCGTGGATTTAGAATGCCAGACTGTGCAAGGTTGTGGCAGTAACTTCAAGTGACAACTGTATAACTGGGCTTTATTTAGGAAATCTCACATTAATTGTATATGACAGGGGAAATTATAACAGGTTTGCTAATATAATCCTGTTTTGGTTTTGACAGACTTTAGTGTTTTGTTTTTCTAAGTCTATGGTAACTAAGAATATTTTTCCTATTCACAGAGCAAGCTTTACATGGAAGGATTTAGAAGCCTAAAAGAAGGAGAACCAGTGGAATTTACTTTTAAGAAATCTTCCAAAGGCCTTGAATCAATACGGGTAACAGGTCCAGGTGGGAGTCCCTGTTTAGGAAGTGAGAGACGACCCAAAGGAAAAACAGTACAGAAAAGAAAGCCAAAGGGAGATAGGTAATGGTGTTACGAACTTTTTCTATATATGCACCTTTCTGAAAGTTTTTATTTGTATTTCTGAATTATCTTTAACAAAAGTGTATCACTGTAGACCCAGTTGGTAGTATTGTCAAACTAGATGTGTGAATGGCTTGATTTCAAAGATGAACGTTAGGAAGCCTCTGGAAGTTACGTACTTCTGAGCTTTTGACTCATCCCACAGTTGCATGTTGTACTTGCTTTAGGTAAGCAAAATGAGTTTTGCAGATGTTCCAAAGCACACTCTCCATGATTATGATTTGTCATATGTCAGGGTTAAGTCCTTACATTGCAAGTGTGTGTGTATGTGTGTTTATAAAATTTGGATGCCGTCCTTCAAAGCCAGTTTTCCCATGGTGGCTATATGTGTATCATATGTGTCTCATAGGTTCTTTAAATATTTGCAGAACATATTTCCTACACTCAGGGAAGAAGAGAAGAGATCAGAGTAGTATCCCTGTCCCTGTTCTCATGACTCTCTACATGAGAAGTCACGTCTGTTGCATGGAGGCTTTTCTCAAGGTATAACATCCTGATTTTCTAGGACTCTAGAGTCTCCATAGAAGAGTACATATATAGTGTGTGTGTATCTGCAATCTAAGCATTTAATTGAAATTTGGTAATGATTTGTACCCTTTATTGCATGTAGTCATTGGTTTGCTGTTTGCTTGCATATAGAGAAGGCTAAAATTAGAAGATGTTGAAGACAGGCAGAACTGCAAAGGTGGAAACACAATGGTATTATAAATTGAAATTTCTTTTTTATTCAATTACCAAATGGACATATTGAATTGAACAAAATAAAAGACCCAGCAATGATACTAGACTTACTTGCTTGAGATCTCATGCAGACATTTGTTAAGCCCTTTTATGATTCTCCGTGCTACTTTCCTTTGCAACATGATAACAGTATAGCTCTCTTGCAATAAGTAACTGTTCCTATATTCTAAGATCAAAAAACATTTTGGTTTAAGGAAAGCATCACCCCCAACCCCTCTGTCGTGCAAAAAACATGGCTACTCTGCAGTTATTTTTTTTTAAGCTTTTAAGTACTTAATTCCAATAATTAAACTTTTGCACATTTGTTCTTGAACTGCAGAACAAAATCTTGTGTTTATTTAACCAAAAATTATACAGTTACAGTGTTCAAAGTTCAGGGGACCCTGAGTCAGTGTGTGATCAGACATGTCTTGTCCTTGCTGAATAAAAGAAAATCTGTTTTGAATTATTATGCTTTACTTCATGAGCTGAACTTTGGCCAATCCAGCAAACACCTCTAATGTATACTCAAAAATGCAAGAGTTTCTTCCACCTTTCTCAAAGCCAATTGATGCAGCAATTAATTTGTTGGACTAGGATAGGGGAGACCCACTTTTAGGTCCACCAAAAGCCATGGAACTCATTGGATAACCTTCAGCCAGTTAATCTCGTCAGCCCGACCTACTTTCAAGAGATCCCCAGGTGGGATAAGAATTTAACACATAAATAAAATAAATACATTTTGCTACTGTACGTATTAGCTTCCCATCTTTGTCTGCATCCACCCACTTCTCTTCCCATCCCATTGGTCCAACACAATTTACATGTCCAGCACAATGCTATACTCCCTGGCACCACTGAAAACACGGAGCACAAAACAGAAGATTAGTAGCCATTGAAATAGCAGCTGAGATTTAGAGGAAGATGGAGGCGGGATTGTGAATATTGGATTTCTGGCTGAGTAGAGTATGTGAAATTTTAGGAAAGCATTATAACTTGTAGAGATGCTTCATGTATATGAATTGATCAGTGGCATTCCATATTGTTGCTATGATCACAACATTGATGTATCCTTACAATCACCAGGAATCTAATTTGACCTGAGGAAGGTCTTTTCCTGGGTAAAGTGGTTGGGGAAATTGAAATTATAACTGTATACATTCTTGCCAATGTTGAGCACAAAAACTCAGGCAAACTGAGGATGTGTAAAGCTTAACTTGTAAAACCATTATAATATAAAAGATTGAACAAAATCTTTACAGAGTATAGGGCATGGAATCTAAGATAGCTGTCTTAAATTGCAGCTTAAATACAAGGATCTTAAACTCATCTAAGCCAAAGAGAGTATATAGATTCTTCATGTTTTTAAACTCTGTGGAGGAATATAGATGACAGCCAGTTTGGTGTAGTGGTTAAGGCCC